TAGAATTTTATCATAATGGCAAATTCTACCCTGATATAGAAATTGGACCCTTCTCACCACTGTATGATAATAATTCCTGAGAGTTCATTAAAATAGAGGCCAGAGGGGCATCAAATAGAGGTGTCTGAACAGATTTTATTTTGATCATGACATAATTATGTCAAATAGCCTAGTCATGGTTGAAAACTATTTAGTAGAAGGTAATATTGTATAAACAAAGAGAAAAGTGTTTAAATTTATTCAATAAAATGCTTCACAGACGAAAACTAAATGATCTAAGCTTTACTTCAAGATTTTAAGACAGCATTTTTTTTAAGAGAAAAGTACAAGAACGACTGGATAACTGAGTCTATTCCGCCGCGTGGGTGCCGGGCGAATCACCCCTCAATCTTATCAAATCACAAATACTGTTTTACCTGCAAACTTCGGATTCTTTCGCCACCTTTGCCAATAATTCGTCCAACATGTTGCTGTTCAACGTAGAACGTATCTGCTTCACCTTTACCGTACGACATTTTACTTTTTACGTGCTAAATTTTAACACAACAAAATGCCTGCAGTTCAACTCAACTTCCGTCCCGTTCAATATTTCTGTTTATACGCATGCGCTATATGCTAATTTCTTCTTTGATTAACCAGCCACTTTATAATCTGAGGACAACATGTCACTTCGACACTTGGTCAATTCGGCACATTGTCTTTTCGCCTACTTGCCACACTTCGACACCTGGTCAATTCGGCACATTGCCTTTCCGCCTACTTGCCACACTTCGACACCTGGTCAATTCGGCACATTGTCTTTTCGCCTACTTGCCACACTTCGACACCTGGTCAATTCGGCACATTGTCTTTTCGCCTACTTGCCACACTTCGACACCTGGTCAATTCGGCACATTGTCTTTTCGCCTACTTGCCACACTTCGACACCTGGTCAATTCGGCACATTGTCTTTTCGCCTACTTGCCACACTTCGACACCTGGTCAATTCGGCACATTGTTTTTTCGCCTACTTGCCATTTCAGGCATCGCATTTGGTTATTGCGACCTGTTTATTTATCAATTTGGAAATAACACACACCAACATACTTTTCATCTTATATAGCAGCGGTTAAGAGGTTTTCTAAAACAATTTACGCGTATCTTTACAATCCCTTTAATTAGCCTATTATGTGGGCCTACCTAAGGCTTTAGTCATTGAATGGCTCTACTGGGAGATTAGGTGTCATAGGTTTGAATCCTCATCAGTTAAGATCAATATTAAAGCCTTAGACAGTACAAAAGCACTGGCCTAGGTCACAAGTAGAGACTAGGGATTTTAGAATTAGAATACTTAAATTTGTTAAGAAATTATTAACTTCTGGAGAGATTTGGTGATGAAGGGAGACAGTGATATTACTAACATCTGGAGAGATTTGGTGATGAAGGGAGACAGTGATATTACTAACATCTAGAGAGATTTGGTGATGTAGGGAGACAGTGATATTACTAACATCTGGGGAGATTTGGTGATGAAGGGAGACAGTGATATTACTAACA